TTTACATGCTGTCATCTGAGGATAAGTCATAACAATTTTTCTCTTAAGTTTTGACATGCTTGGTATGTTTTGCAGAACAATCACACTTAAAAGGGCCTTTTTGGTTGCAGCCAGGGAGGCTACAGATGGAGGAGAGAGAAATACCCAGCTCTGGGTTGTGGTGGAGCAGTTTAGAAGTCTGTGGAAAATGACAGGGGCCACGCAGGGACGTGCTGCATTGAGCACGATCACCATTGTAAAGTCGGGCAGAGGGCAGACATCGCCAACTCGCCTGACTCTCTTTTGACCTCAGGAAAAAAAAAAAAAAAAAAAAAGCCTCTTAGTGAAAATCCACGTCTGCTGGGGAAAGGGGACATCTGCCAAGTGTTTCCCTGGGGGCCTGCTGTCAGCTGGTCCTGGGGTGGGATGTGTAACCATTTCTCTCCAGCTACACAATGAATGATGTGATAAGGAAAAAAGATGTTTGTGTGTCAAAAGTTCCATCCTAAATTCCCCTTAAGGAGTCTGGGCATCGAAACAGGGCAGCAACACCACTTCCTGTCACCCAATCCTGCTGGTGGGCCTCCTTTGTAAACTGCATTGTGTCACTCAAATGTCAGGGTCCTCATTGCTGTTTCAGACGGTTTGAATTTCAACAGCAGATTGGCATCACCTGGTAATAAAACATCACTTCAGTCTTTCCCAAGCAGGCCCCATCAAAGTGTAGCCATCAGCATTTAGCTGCTGTCATCACGCCATTCACTTCAAGACTCCTTCTTCCATTTCATAATTCTGTTTCTGGGACCCTTGTGTGAAATGTATGAGTGCTGAATCTCCTAAGGTGTGCGGTGTTTACCTGACTTACTTAGAAAAGTCAGCCTCTATAGTCTTGTGGTAACTTGAGACTCTGGTTGGGAAACGTCATTTTGAAGAAACACAAAGTCATAGGGTCAGATGTTTTTCCTCTTCGCAGTGGGAATTTCTACTCAGTAAAGCAAGATTGGACTTTACTTGGAGGGTGAACACATGGGTATCTAAATGCTACCCTCTCATGCCAGTTAGACTGGCCATTATCAAGAAGACAGAGAATAACAAATGCTGGCGAGGATGCAGAGAAAGGGGAACCCTCCTACACTGCTGGTGGGACTGTAAATTAGTGCAGCCTTTATGGAAAACAGTGTGGAGCTTCCTCAAACAACTACGGATAGAACTGCCATCCTATTCAGCGATCCTGCTGCTGGGTTTATACCTAAAGGAATGGAAATCATCATGTCATAGGGACACCTGCACTCCCATGTTCATCACAGCTCTATTTACAATAGTGAAGAGTTGGAACCAACCTAAATGTCCGTCGATGGATGACTACATAAGGAAAATGTGGTAGATATACGCAATGGAATACTACTCTGCCATAAAAAGGAATGAAATTCTGCCATTTGCAGGAACATGGATGAACTTAGAGAAAATTATAAGTGAAATAAGCCAGGCACAGAAAGAGAAATATAGCATGTCCTCATAAGTGGGAGCAAAAAAACAAAAAACAAAAAACAAAAACCAAAAATCCCCCAAAAACGAGTAAACAAAAAAAGAAAGACACAACGGTTGCAATAATCATTGGACTTTCAGAAGGAGAGAACGTAACTGAGGCTACCAGACTTGGGAAAGGGGGAGGGGGAGGGAGGTTAGCAAGAAATTGGTAAAGGACAACAAAAAATGATTGCATCGTGTAATGATACATACAGTAGTTACCCTGATTTGAGGATCATGTATTGCGCACAGGTATTGATATTCAGTGCTGTACCCCACAGATATGTATAATCAATTGTTCTGATTAAAAATAAATAATAAAAAATAAATGCTATAATTTAAGAAAAGCTAACAGAGTCCTCTAACCAGGGTTGTGCTGGTAAATATTTAACAACCAGCTCTCTGATGGGGTATAAAAGCTTTATTTACAGTGTTTGCCAATTTCCATGTCTAATTTGAAGCTACCAGTGAGATGTTGTTGGGAGCCAATTCCAGCTCGGCACTGTCCCTAACTCTGAAACATTTTTCTCTCCCAGCATCACATCGTGAGAACTTTTGCATGCTTGCTCCTTTGAGGTGACTATATTAGAGAATGAAGGAAGGAGACCTCTCAAGGTTCCAAAGGAGAAGAAAAAAGTTGTAATTAGATTAACTATCAACCATTTTGGCTGTAAAAGAGAGAGCCAGTTGACATCAAGGTGACCTTGAACAGTGACCAGGTCATTTCCACGCTGCTAGAGTCCAGCCCAATCTCTTTTTTGACTGTCCATTCTAAGATTGGAAGTGTGTATTAGTTTTCCAGGACTGCCAAAGCAAAGTACCACAAACTGGGTAGTATGACAGCAGAAATGTATTGCCTTAGCAGTTCTGGAGGCTGGGAAGTCCAGTACTGATGCGTCAGCAGCGTGGTTCCTCGTGAGTACTGTGAGAAAGAATCTGTCCCACGCCCCTCCCCTAGCTTCTGAGGTTTCTGGCAATCTTTGGTGCTCCTGGGCCTGTAGATCAGTCTCTGCCTTCATCTTTACACAGCGTTCTCCCTGTGTGTAGGTCTGTGCCCAAATGTCCTTTTCTTTTCTTTTTTTTTAAATGAGGACATAAAACATATTGGATTAGGGGCTCACCCTACTCCAGTCTGATCTCATCTTTACTAATTACATCTGCAATGACCCTATTTGCAAACAAGTTATGGAGAGGTATGGGGAGTTAGGCCTTGAACATATGAGTTTTTGGGGGACACAATTCAATCCATAACAGACAGGGAAGCTTATGGTCTTATATTTCTGTTTAGACCTTTGAAAGAATTCAGAAGCTCAGAGGAAACTTTTTTCCGAGAGGGCTGAGAAGCCAGTGGGAATATGGACGACCACCACTTGACGTTATCCAGAGTAGAAGAGAAAGGGATTTTGTTAGAAACCTCTGACTGACGGCTGACCCTCCAAGTTTTGAATCTTTCTAATAGAGCCACATTTCTTATTCTTGGATCCTAGTCTAAGGGAGGCGTGTGTCCCCTAATTTTGGGTAATAGTTGTCCTGAGAGCATGGGAGGCAGGTAGCAGCTGAAGCAGAGGCTGACAGGTCTTGGCAGACAATGGTGTCGATGGGGCCATGTCCAAATGGAAACACCACCTGAATACAAGCCTGCAGGAAGAGGCACTTGGAGTGAAGAGAGGGAGCCACAAAGCCAGGGAGAAACAGACAGGGTGGGAGTGGCCAGGCCTGTGACAGCAGAGTCCAGGTGGGGATCTCCGTGTGCTCTGTGGCCGGTGCCCTGCGGCTGCCCTGGATCCAGAACATCTGTCTGGTCCCAGGCTGGTTGAGGTCCTGGCCGGATCCATCCCCATCACTCCTTGTGCATCCTTATGAGAAACCCCTTTAGTTGAGCTACCGAGGCCTCTGTTCCTGCAACACAGAGACAAACCAGAGCCTATGGCCCAGTCACCGGACAGTCCATCTGACCCCTCACTCCGATGAGGATACACAGCCGTTTTTTTTAAACGGCTTTTAAAAAAAATATCTTGGCGTCTGACCTCAAGAAATGCATAGAAAAAGTAGCCTTCAATGTCCACTCTAATTTTCTTCAGTATTCTTACCTTTCTAGGCTGATGTTAAATATAAAGTGTTTTGTACATATACCTATTTTAGTGTTATAAATGTATAATAAGTAATTTAAATGCATATGTAGAACATATGTATTTCATAATTTATAACAATACCAGTTTCTGTATTTAAATATGGCTATAGTCATTTCATCTATTTGAAATTTGTCAAAATCCAAGAAGCAACTTTTAGAAAATTCCCAAAATGGAGTTGCAGAAGTCCACACACTGTCTTATAACCTTTCTTTCCCTCACTTAGGACCTGCTTACCCTTACTCTACACCATTGCTGTAACCTTGTGGTGTGATTCCCAACTCCACGCTGAGTGGAGAGAGTAAACCGAGAGCACAGGGAGGGTGAGCCTGATGACAAGGACCAATCCTGGGAACAGACAAAGGCAGACAACTTGATGCGTAGTCCGAGTCGTGTTGTGCTACGTTTGGTGAGTAGTTCGGTGCATCACGGTAGCACATGAAGACACAGGAGTTTGGTGATTGATGCTGAAGTCATGAGTCTTCCAGCTGAGGCCCCAAGAATCGTGGAGCAGAAACAAGCCACCCCAACGTGCCCTGTCTGAACTCCTGACCCACAGGACCCACAAGCCTAGTAAAACAGCTGTGTTTTATGCCACAACGTTTGGGAGCAGTTGGTTAAGCATCAAGAGTGACTGGGAAAGACACTGACCACACTATCACCACTTCAGAGGCAAGAAAACAGGTTCCGTGAGGTCGTCATTTGTTGGTAGATGCTCAGGCACAGCATGGTGGAGCAGGGACCTGAGCCTGGGCAGCATCTTGCTGGGGTGGCCCTTCCATGAGACCTCAGAGCAGGAGCCTCCTCCCCCAGCCCGTGGCCACGGCCCCACGTTGGAGGCTCTGCCTTGTTTGTTCCTCCTCAGCTCTGCCCACTGCTGGGCTGATCCCAGGGAGCTGCGCCCATGAGAACGTGTGGCTCAGCCCTCCTGCCACCGGAGCATTGTGGACTCACGGTCCCGCCTGCTGCCCCTGGATGTGCCACCCCGTTTGGGCCGAGACCTCCCTCCTGCCCAGCCAACCACAGTGCGCATTCCTGGGGACTTTGGACAACCCTTCGGTCCGGCTGAAGCTTCCCTAGAGTGGGGCTGCGCCTGAGACCCTCCCTCCTTACCCGCTCCCTGGCTGGGGACAGGTGCGTGTGACGGTCGGAGTCCCCCCTGCGCCCTCCCGTCCCCTCCGCTTCAAGCCTCACAGGCGTCCCCTCCAGTAAATCTGCACAGCTAAACCCCTCCTGGTGTCTGTTTCTCGCAGGACCTCTGCACCCTGCCCCGCCCCTGCGTCCACTGTCTTGTCACCATGCTTCACGACCCCAGGTCCTACCTCCTGAGTGCCCCGGGCCTGGTGGCAGCGGGGCCGTCTTTACCTTGTTGACGCCGTCTGCCATGGCCTGGAGCGTGAGCTCCCGGGGCCCGTCCACCGTCTTGCCGTTGTCCGTGGGGCCCCAGCTGGCGCTGTAGATGTCGATCACCTGAGGCATGTGACTGATGGACGAGGCCTCGATGATGTCCGTCATGAACGGCTGGTCCAGCATGCGGATACCTGTGCACAGCGACGGGCAGAGAGAACCGAGCCTTGGCACTCCAGTTCCCGGGGACCAGGGAGTGGAGGATGGCTCGGGTCCCGGGTGTGGTGGGAAGGGCTGGTGACTTTGGGTGCCCTGGGGGACACTGCAGAATCTCTGCTCCAAGGATCAAGAAAGAGGCACAAATGATCTCACTTGCTCCTTTTGGGATGGCCCCCCCAACCCCATGCCTTTATGTAACTATTTGAAGAAAATTTTATTCCCCTAGCAAACCTCACTAGAATTCCTGTTGGGAGAGACCGCCCTTGCTGTTTCTAAGTGGAAGCTCAGCCTCCAGGAACTGGGTGTTGACTGGGACCAAGTTTCAGGGGAGAAATACAGCTGCCATGCCTCACAGATGGGGCAGGCAGTTGATGCTTGATATTGAAGGGGAAATCCCAGAAGGCAGAGGGCAGAGGGTAGGGGTCAGAGGGAGGGACAGGCACAGGGCAAGGGGTGGGTGGGGTCAGAAAGAGGAACTCCCAGTTGCACTGTAGCTGAGAAGGGACTTCGAGGAGGACAGATGCTGAGTGGGTTATTCTAAGCTATATTAACCATGGGGTGTGTCATACAGCCCCTCCTTCTCCCCCCAGGGCATCTTTGTAACGTCTGTGTTACTCTCAGATGCCTCGTAGAAAGGACTTCTTGCCAAGCAGGGGTCTCTGTTTCAGCTCCTTCTGCCTGTGGCCCTCCGTGGCTTACATCATTATCCACAAAAGGTCTCTCTGGGGTCCATCATAGCAGCCAACGGGATGGGCATTCTGTCTCCCGTCACTATCCTCAAAACTTCGCTGATTGGGACCCTTTCACGCCGTACAGGGCTGGTACCTGGGTGACAAGTCAGTCGATGCACTTTTCCATGGCAAGGAGCCCAGAGTGTTAGTGAAGCTGACCTAAGTCTTTCAATCCACCGGAATTATGGAATGAAGGGGCTGGGCCAGGCACAGTCAAAACCTGGATCCTGGGCCGACCTGGTGGCGCACTGGATAAGTGCGCCACTTGGGAAGTGCGGCGGCGCTCCCGCCCGAGGGTTCGGATCCCACATACAGACCAGTTCCCGCTCACTGGCTGAGCGAGGCGCGGGAGCAACGCCGAG